CTTCTAAAAAAGTTGCGATGATAAAGTTTGACTTACTCTCAACTTTAACTCATGATACCGTGTTTGGGTAGTTTAGAGTACATTTAGTTTGAAAGCAACCCATGCTTCAAAGATGTAACTACCTTCTTCTGTTTGATCAATGTTTTAACCCTTTGACTGGGATAGGGGTGTGTTTACCGTGTACCTTCTAAACATCAGCTCAAAAGATGTATACGCAGAGTGAATGAATAATTATTTTGTGAATAATATATAACTGTTAGAAGAATATTTTCTCTCTTGTATTACGCTTTTCGCGGAAAATACAAATGGAAGAAGTGAACTTCACTCGGAACATATTTATTGTTCTATTAAACTGATACAGTACCCGACGAATTCTTACGAGTGATATAGGAACCGGGTAAATAACTGAATAAGGAAAATTCTGTGTATACGCGAATGTATATTCACGTTTCTCATTTTTCTACAAAGTCGGGCATTATTTCAAATAACATTTTGACACAAATTTTGAGTGAAATGAAGATATTGAAAAATAAGAAATAAATTATTTATTCGAATAATTAAAAAGTCAATTACTTATTTGAAAATGACAGAAAAAATCAAACTTTATTTCAAACAATAATGTTTTCAAATTGGAAATTATGCAGTATTTGAAATAATTTTTATTCAAAGAGGTATAAATAAATTTTTCATTCAAAGAAAAATTTATTTCTAATTTTCCAAGAATTATTCTTCTCATCTGAAAATACACATTGTCATAATAATAGATCCCTGTTAGAACGTCGAATCGAACAACTATTATTCCTCTATGGAGAGTACCGATGAAGTAATAATTAATGTGTAGTATCGCAATCGAATCTGCGAGCGTAATCAGTAATTTGATTATTTGACGCGAAGCGCAATAAAGTCTTCGTTTTACGATTAATTCGATACACCGTTAGAGGAATTTAATGGAGAGTAATATGGTCAGTGGTCAGCGTTGCGAGTGTTCTCTAATTGTTTCATTAACCTTTCTGCTGAAGTAACGCAGTAGAAAACAGACACAAAGATTTATGAATTGAAATTAATATCTACTAGATAACTTTTTATAACATGGTTATAACATGGCTATCCTTTTAACGAAATAATAATTTCATAATTTGGCAAGCAATATAAATCATTTTTATTTTATAACAAAAATTTCTAATTCATTGATTTATATCTTGGCAAAATTGCTTTAGCTGATCGATGCTTTGCTTTCCGCTTGCTTGTTCACTTGCACTGTGACTATATTGTTAATGAAACTTAGTTACATCGAACGTGTAGAGAATTACGTGACCATTGTCTAAATTAGTTACAAGATAGAGAAGACAAAAGGAGATAGGATAATAAAGGAGTTAACTTAATTAGTAGTAGATCACTTTGATGGTATAAGCTCACATGGAAGTATAAATTCAAACCAGTCATATTACAATGCGGTATTTTGGCAACAGTTCTACCAATTAGACGCTCTTGTCCAAACAGATAGCCGGGCTTGCCTAATTACTCGTACTCCGCCAATCACCGGGCTCATTACTTCGGCCCTAGTTAAAGGATGCAAATGCACCTGATAAACTACTTGCATCGCGCGAAGGCGAGTCAGTCTGCTCTTGGGTTTCGAAGAAGCAGGAGTGTTTCATTTTTGCAATTCGTTTTACAAATATTTGCTTTAGAATCGCGTTACTAATGAAGACATTAACTTTTTAACGTGTTAATAGTTAAATATAGTTTATAATTGTCGGTAATGTTTCTCAGAAAACTAATACGCGTGTCGAATTACAACAACTTGATTGTCGTCATTGATAACGATGCAATTACGCTGCTACTAATTAACCGAGCAGCGGTGGGTTGTGTTTCATTTTATTCGTTCTCCAGTCGCATGTCACGTGCGATTCTAATTAGTAAAGGTTATTCATTTCTTGAAGTAAAGTGGCAACTTAAATTGAATGTCAATCGTTGAAGCTATTCGTGGAATTGTAGGAAACGTTGTTCGGTATGGAATTCTATGGTTAAATTATTTTGCCAGCTCGTTCTATAAGTAATTAAGGAATTAACAGTGAAAGATAAATAACTGTCTTGTCGTGCTGAATTATTACTTTTCGATTCTTCGCTTGAAATATCAGAATAGTATTCTGTGTCCTTGTTCTAAAATCAATACAGCATTTCTATTTGATAATTTCTGTTAGTAATTTAAAGTTAAACTCGTTCTCCTTTTATCAAGTTAACATTTAGACAATTCGAAAATCAGCATCTTAAAGTAACAAGGCTTTAATTATGGCTTTTGTCATCTCAGAAATTCATTAAGTGGATCTACTGTTTAAACTTTGTTCGACTTGCAGTTCAAACGAGAAACTATCGTCGAAATATTGTTACAATAAACTTTGCCTTTGAATCTCTTGTCTGGATTCCAAGGATACTTATGTTTAATCTCAAGTATTTGTTTAATAATAGGTTCAGCATTACTTTGCTCTGCTTACAATTTTATTTTAAAATCACCACGAAATCTTCTGACCAGCCTAAAATGACTACCTTTCTGTTGCTCTAAAAATAATTAAGATATTTGACACCCTAAAATTAGATGGGACACTGGACGTTCGTTCAAGCATTCACAATATAAAAGCCTGTGATTTGTTGAGCGAATTTTCCTCGTTCTGTTAAAATATTTTTTCAAAGTTTCGAATATTCTGTTATTTTTCCAAGAGCTTCAATTTATAGATCATCTTTTTTTATAAAGGAATTAGATGTTCATATTTTTCGACAGCTTCGACGCGTCTCGAGGTTGGATCGTTCTTGACCCTGTCTCGATCATAATCGACCCACTTCTCCGTGAAATACAGAACAGTGTCTTGATTAAAGCGGATCCATTAAAGTTTCTTTCTCGGATCGAAGCTTGAGCTTAATCTCTGCTGGATCCGACAGCAATTTTCTTGAGTAATCGTATTATATTCCTGTTAGTCTGTGTTCAATTATCTTAATCGACTAAACTTTACCTTAATCACATTAATTTTAATTAGCGTCCTTATACGAGACGCAGAAACGTTTTCACCGTTATTTATCTAATAATCGTGTTGGCAAGAGAAGATTTTATTGCGGGCAAACTTTTTAATTTCAAGTTAATTGATCATAGAAGAAAACTTATCGTCTCTTTAACAATTTCTTACAAGGAGCTTTTGTTGAATCGGGAACGAATTTTATGGAGTTTCCAGGACGGTGGCGGTAAACAAACGTTTAATTATTGAGAAAGCGACTTGAGCAGGTGTGCGTATGCTTGTGTGGTGTAACGAAATTATTTCTGCATGTTTGAAAGCGTTTGCATGACGTTCGAACGCACGCACCCTGTGCTTACGTGCTTTTGTAAACTGCGATCTGATTAAAACGTCTCGAGGCTGTTCGTGCGCGATTGAGCGTACCAGAGTTTCCAGTCAGACACGATTTCCAGGTGGCACGGGTTCATTTGAATTACCATAAACCTATGCGTATTTCATTCCAAAACTGTATATTTGATAAATTGTTGAAATCATGTAAATAAAATTCCAATAAAACTCGGTAAAAAATAATTTCAATATAACATCGATATCAGCCCCTTTATCGATAAAAACGTGCAACACTTTGAAATGCAAACACAGCCGCAATGTTTACTTCCCGTTTTAATAAAGCATTTATGGACTCTTTTTACGTGACGTTTCTGCTCTGTAATAAAATAGAGCTTTTCTATCCATTATGTGTTAAAAAAAAAAGAAAAAGAGAAACGTAGAATCGTTGTAGCAATTTCAGAAGATTATTCCAATTTCAGAAGGCTGTTCTTTTATGCAGGTCCCCTTTTATAATAAAACGATTCAAAAATACACCTCCATCGTGTTCGAACGATTGTGGCACGCTTCATCAGAGCCGCATTCGACATCGAAAATACCTATTTGCTCGAGTTGATTGCTTTCATTGAATGCCATCGCCCTCTTTTCCGGCTCCACTCTTTACAAACGACTTAAGATATTCCCTTCGATGGCTGATTTTCTCGCTGACATAACGACTTCTCCCTTCACATCCGATCGATTCGATCCTTCAAACTTTTTCATATATCCCACAGTATTTCTTTCGACAGATTTTTCGAGCTGCGAATCGCACGTTGTAAAGTGTTGTTTAGTGGATCGCGTTGCGTCTGACATTAACCTTAACCGGGGCAATTGAGAGCAGACTGTATTTACTTGAGTTTCCTTATTTTCGCAGCGTTTATGGCTACCATTGGACTTCCGTCGGACCGACATAAAAACAAGGATCAACCATTTAATTCCTGACTTTAATTCCTGGCTAATAAAACTCTGAAAACAAGGATGTATTTAAATATTCCTCCTTTGTAGCAATTATTTCAAAGTAACTGTGATATATCAGAGAAGGTAATTTTCATTTATCTTTCTCGTTTTAACAGTCGGTCATTATGCGAACGAGTTGAAGCAGGTTCACGATGGTCAGTGACACGTTTGAAATGAAAACAGGGAGACTCTTTGATCAGACGCGTTTCCTGCTCATTAACAGCTTCAAAAAGCATATGTACTTCAACAACATATTCATCTTCTCTGCCTACCTCTCGAGGATGCTTGATTAAACACGTTTCTTGCCTGGAACGTCGACCTTTTTACTTCCGTTCAAAAACTCCGAGAAACGTTTCCGTGATTTTCCGGGATTTTTCTTCTTTCGTTCCAATACTCCGTCCTATTGTTCTCATGATTTTTTCTTCTCCCTGGGATGGTTTTATTGTTTTCCTTGAAACGCCGTTTTGAACGACTTGAAAAATAAACGGAAGAATCGTGACAGGAATGATAGAATAAAGTGATCATTTTTATCGTACTATTATTTGAAAATTTGTCCAAGGGACATGACACGTGTGGGGTATATTTTTTCTTATCAAAATTGTTTTGAAATGTTTCAGTGCGGTTGTAAAGTGTGCTCGGATAATTTAATCTAACGAGATAGTTAACGATTTGTTGCAGGTAGCCAAGCTGTTCTCTTACACGTGGACAATGGGTCTGTTCCTATGCAAGTCGGTGCATTATATGCAGAGCGTATCGGCTATTTGCTCGGTCGTCACGTTAACCGCGATGTCGGTCGAAAGGTAAATCTTACATTATTACCTCCTTTAAACCACCCATTATTTAACCTTATATCGTACCTACCACCTCTTCCAACATAAATGATGTCAAAACAAAAAAATTGCAGCCAATATATTTTTATCATAAACTTTATCTTCGTTCGAAGTTTCATTTTCTTAAGCACCCTTTAAGACAACGAAGAATGTGAAATTTATTAAAAAAGTCTTTGGATTGATTAAACTTATCGTTAAAATAATTATTTGTTCACGTAAAAACTTGGAGATTAACTGGAAGATAAAATTATAAAACTTTTACATTGCTCGACGTTCGTTAGAAAAGCAACTTCTGTTGGAAGCATAAAAAACATTTAACGTCGTTTTACATCCAAGGAGTACAGTTTCACTTAATTAATGAACACAAACGAGTTGTCAGAAGTTCTCCTTATATAGAGCCGTATTTTATATCGCTGCCACTTTCTGTCTGCATAGTTGGAAGGGTTCGTTCTATCACAAAACGCGGCTATTAATTTTCAAATTATTGAAATACCATAGATCCTTTCTAATACCCTTCCTCTATGCAAGATTAATGAATTCGAAGGATTATAAATTTCACGAGAATTAGGTGGCACTTTCAATATCTTGCCCCTATTGTGTAGCACCCTATGTTCATAATTAACGATGAACTCAGGGTTTATCCGAAACTTTGACGATCATTTACAATCTCAAAACATTTCTCTTAGATTATTTTATTTTCTAATTCAAGATATAGAAACGATTTATCCACAGATCATTCAAGTTTAAATGAAATGTAATCAACGTAAAGTCGTTTAGAGACACTCTTCATCGTAAATCGTTTCCTTTCAATTTCACGGGAAGTAGAATTTTGTCCTCGAATCTACCTAAAAGTTTACGTTCGTTGGCGTAGTTTCAAAGAATTCGTTCCCTTCTTTACTTTAGCACGTTTCGGTGAGGCAGTTAGCACAGGGAGAGAGGAGCAGGAATTGTCTTTTCCATTTCAGATCAGATTCCAATGGAGTCGAGAGATTGCCAGGTGTTTTCTTTCTTCTTTCACGTTCTTTCACACCGAATTCATTCTACGACTTATTTAACACGTTCATAATACAAATATTTTACACCTTACAATGTGAATTTTTCAAGATTTGTGGATTTATGATTTCTCGAGGGAAGCTGTTGTTTCGATTCACCGCTCACGTTTCCTTTTAATAGAGAAGCCAAGAAATAGGCCGGCAAGATGGTTCCCATTCCCGACATGCTTAAAATTTATTTGGTTTCAGGGGAAACTGAACCACCGTATCGAAGAGCCTCTCTTTCACAACGTTGAATCGATTGCTTTTTTATTGTTTCTCGCCTTTCCCTTTATGATTCCTTTGTGGTTGAAATGAAACGAATAAATTTTGCGAAATTGATCATATTTCTTGTACTTGCGAGGGTTACAAACAATAACAGTGATTGCTGTGATAATTTATACACTGTACTCATCTCAAAAATATCAATATCGCAAATTTATTGCAATTCATGGCGGACCATGGAGAGAGCCTAATTTTAGTTTAATTTAATTTAATTTAATTTCGTAAGTTTGGGTTACCTTTAACTTAGACTCCGGTGTTCAAGGATAAATTATAATAAGTTAAATATAAAATTACAAAGTCATTTGTGAAATTTGCGGCCATCAAGGTATTAAGCGATCAAAATTAAATGCGGTACGTGAAATTCATACTCGTCAACCGGATCATCGATCGGACTAAATAGAATTTGTTCTCGACAGTGCGATCTTGTCAATCATAATTAAACGATACGTAATTTTACAGCCCTGCTCGTTTAATTCGTTTGCATTCGGTGACGAGGGTGAGGTTGATTGACAGTCGGCACGGAAATCTCCAGCTACTTTGTATTCATGGTTCCGTTTAATCGAAAGAGATCCGGATAATCGCTGCACTCGCTTCTCTCTTTTTCTTTTTCGTTTAATTGGTGAAGGTCTGGAAAAAAGGGAAGAGCAACGGAAATAACGATGGCTGTAAAATGAATGGTTGGAAATTTCTCGCACCATTACTTTGCTTTATTGCCTCCTCTTAATGTGCCTCTGTCATTTTTTTCCCATCTTTTTCTCACCTTTGCCACCTGCATGCTTTATAATCTCGGGAATTTAATATCTCGCAACAGTTCACTCGACAATTATTTTTCAACTGCACCCCCACGTGTTTTCAAACTAATTAAAATAGTTAAATTAGCGTCGGTGTCGTTTCGTAATTAACTAATTGAAAGTTCCATCTGTGTGTTTCAGGTACTACGCGATTGTTCATCCGATGAGAGCACAATACACGTGTACGATAAGCCAAGCCCGTAAAATAGTGATTATAACTTGGGTGGCATCGTTCCTTCTTGGTATTCCAATGATTTTCACCCAGGTAAACGTATCAATAATTTTATTTCTATTTCATTTATTTTATATTATATATCCGAGCGATGGTAATCGTTAGAAAATTTAGCAAAATTTAATCTGCTTAGAAATTAAGCAATCGGTTATCGGTTTGTCAATTCTCCTATTAGCCGAGTTTCCTTGCGGTTAATCGCGAAGTCAGCGATCACAGATAGCGCCGTTTTCTTGCAATTTCGATTTCCGATACTCCATTCAGAGAAATTGATAGTCTGCGCAAATATGTACGAGATAGCATTGCCCGCCAACAGAAACGTAGGTACTACATGCAAAATCGACGTGTATTTGACTGATGTTTCCCCAGCGAGGAACCTCTGTTTATCCGACCGTTAAGAAACTACTTCCGTTCAGGATGAAAATCGGGTGAAATCGTGTATTGAATCGATTTTACAACGGAAAAGGAGCTTTCCTCCGATATCTTCCATGGGATTTCAAACACTCCCTTCCCTTATTACTTCTAGAAATGATTTGTATCGAGCTTTATTTACAGTTCAACTTGTAAATTTAGATTCGTTCTTTTAAGTTTTAAATGAGATCCCTTTTCCCTCCTGAAAGAAAGGACGAACAAAGGGGGGCAATAAATGAATTATGTAGAAAAGTGAATCGTGTGTCTTTTACAGAAAGAAACATAAATAAGACGATTAATATTGTTGTTGTCATTTTTATTTAAATTATAGGTGCAATTTAATGTCCCAAATCCAGATTAATTAAAATTCGAAATTACGTTCATCCAAAATTTAAGCCCTCTTGATTAATTGATTATAATAATAACATAAATTGAACTTTAATCGATAAACTCATTAGCTTCAAAATGCTGCGGATTTGATTAACGTAGGATTATCTAACAGGAACGTTTTATTCTTTCAAGACACACATGGAGGTGGGAATGAGGGTGATCGCTTACTGGTGCGTCCGCGATTCAGATGCGGGTCTTTTATGGCGTGCACACGAGGTTTACATGCTCGTGTTGGTTTTGGTGTTTCCTCTCTCGGTCATGGCGTTTTGTTACACAGCTATTTGCTGGGAGATCTGGCAAGTTATGAAACGCCGATATCACATGACATCACGACACGCGTAAGTCTACTTTCTTTTTTTTTTATCAAACACCGTAAAAAGGAGTTTTCCGTTTGTTCGAATTTTGGAATAAAATAATTTTTATGTGGAAATATGAATTTCATTCCATGCCACCTCGTTTACATTCGTCAGAATTTCCATGTGCACGCGGTGAAAATATTAGAATTCGAGCGAACATTGAAATACTTTTATCGATATGAAAAACGTCGAAGCAGATGTTCCAGATAAAAAAAAGGAGAAACCTATTTTTCATGAAAATCTTCTCTTTCCGCTGCAGTAAATTTTTCTAAACGTATGAACCGGCGTTTTAAACACGCCGGGCGGAGTACAGAATCCTGTATCTCAACTCTTAGGTGCTAAAGTGGGTCTTAAAGTAATCCTTAAACCCCTTTACGTGATCCTCGAGGTGTATTTTAAACTTATACGAGCGCTCGTACGGCTGAAGCGCATTGTTGAAATAATTGCTCTCGGATGGTAATCGCCACGGTGGAGATTTCAAACAGCATTAAATTTCCAACAATATTTCATATAACGAAACTCGGAAAATTTTGTTCATACGAAAGTTCGCGAAAGTTTCGAGCAGATGCAAGGAAAATTCAGGTCATTTTGCGGGACGGATTGAAATAAGTTTCAATGGAAATTGAAAATATCTGCGGGCGGAAAAGGTGTGTTCAACTTGTTGAGCATAGTTTTATAAAAGTTTCTTTTTGCGTAAATGTAGCGAGGGGTTAAACGGGGTGGTAACCTTATTGTTTCGATATTTCGCGAAACCCCGAGATACCTTTCGAGTGGCATCGCGAAAGTTTGTCGAAACTTTTGATCGCAGCTTGCGCGCGACATCTCGTTATCGATCTTTTCGGCTCTTCCTTCTATCTTTCGGTATCCATTGTCGTTTACTCGTTAAAAACTTTGACGAACAAGATCACTGTAGTTGATAACGAAATTCCTTCGGCGAGATCCAGTTTACCGATACAAGCATGTTTCCTTAGTAATTTACAGTAGCAGGACGCGAGATTTATCGTGGGAATTATGCGTTTTTGGATGAGAACGGAAACTTTGGTGGCACGTGATAGGCGGTTCAATTTGTTACAGATTAAGCCAGCACAATACCGATACCGAATCGATACCCATGACGCAGAGGCAAAGTGCGCGAAACGGCGGTCGTCGTTATCGAGAAGACGGACAGACGGAAGAAGAATCTCGTACCATGAAACAGGTCTGATAAATATTAATTTTGCAACTAGCTTCTAGCAGCTTAGAGTAAGCTGCGATGATAATGAAACGGTTTTAAAGAGATTTTATCTTGTTAAGCTATTCAAAGGCTTAGGAGAACTTTGTCTTATTAAGTTGCTCAATGGTTTCAGGTAAATGGTAGAACTTGGTAATTAGTATGTTGACAAGTATTAGGTTAATATTAATATTCTTTTCATTATTTTCTTTACAATAATTTTATTAATATTTCTTTATTAGTGTAACATGATTTGTGGTGATAATTAAATAGTTAGTAGTATAGTTATTCGAAAAACGAGTTCATCGTTTCACTTGAAAGAGTCTCGAATTTATAAAAGTCCGATACCACTTCTATCGTAGGAAGGTTTCTTCCATGAGAGACAATTTACTTAAGCAAACCACCACCTCCTTCATTCGCATGCTAATTATTGTGCATTTCAAGCAGCAGTTTCGAATAAATAAGGCAAAAGCTTCTCGTCGTTTATGCTAACGGTGTCGCAAACGGTGTCCTCGTTCACCTAATTCTTCTCATTTTCAATGTTTCATTTCAACATAAAATATAATTAAAACTTATTCGACATGAAATTTCTGAAAAATATAATAAACTCACCGGTGGTCTAAAATTAATGAGCTTGGACGTCATTGTCGAGTTGAAAACAATTTCTAAACATCCCCTATCGATTGACAAAGTTAGCCCCTGTGGTTTGGGGGATAGAATGCAGCCACAGTATTCCCTGCTTGTCGTAAGAGGCGACTAAAAGGGATCGAAGTTAGGCAGAGCTTTCAGAAACTTTAATAATTGCGAAAGAAATGAAAATTAACGAGAAAGTTATTCTTCGCTAATTAATGAAACAAAAATTGACGAAGATAACAAATAAAGATATCCTTCGATTTGTTTCTCGTTTTACTTTTACACCGTGAATTTTTCCAAATTCACCCTTAAACTCTTCCACGATAGGTAGTGAAGATGCTGGTGGCTGTGGTGGTGTTGTTCGCCATTTGTTGGGGTCCAATTCTGGTAGACAACACCCTCACCGCCTATGGTGTTTTACCAAGTATGAAATGGGGAATGTACAAACATCTTAACACCACGTTTCAGTTGATGGCTTATTTTAACAGGTACGTCTAGCAAGTATCCTTTTATCCTAACAATGACCGGTAAACTTTAATCCGACTATGTTGAATAAACATTGAATTTCAGTTGCATAAATCCGATCATTTACGGATTTATGTCGAAGCACTTCAGGGAGAGTTTCCTATCCGCCGCTTGCGGTGGTTGGTGGATCTGTTGTCCGAGAAGGGGGTACAAGGCTCCGGTGAAGAGGCACCCTAGCCTCAGCCAAACCAGGACGACCAGTGTCAGGTACGTGGATCGTGTAAGCACGCATATCCTTCGCTCTCTTGTCTCTCTTTTTTTTATTTTATTTCATTTTGCTTATGTCTTTTGCTGCTTAACATAACGAGGAACAGCAGGTGTAGCCGAAGAATCACTGTTTTGAATTTCAGATTGATATGGATAAATATGTATGATACCCTGAGGCGGTAGGTACTGTGCACGCCAGTAAATCGTATACACCTCTCTCTTTTGAAAAAAAAAAAAAAAAAAAAAAAAAAAAAAAAAAAAAAAAATACAATGTATACGTTCGTTTAGTCGTGTAATTTGCAGATGAAAAAAAAAATCCTTTCTTTCTGTCGTCGTTCCTCTGCCTTCAATGGTCTGTATTTTTCTTCTACACATTTTTGTTGTTCGATTAACTCTCTGCGATTATTTGTTGATTCCAACTGATCGATATTGGACATAACACTCGTTCTTTTTTTTAAAATTCAATTAACACGAATTTTATTTTCCTGTATTCAATAGCCTCGTTGGAGTTTTTGAAAAGATACTAGGGAAGATTTGAGATCCGAGGCTTTTGCTAGCATGCTCTACAAATTTGGAAATAAAAATGGAGTATAGAGAATTTAGGATTTCGTTTTAAGAATTTTGCACGACTTTGATTTTTTTTTAAAGAAATTGTTAATTCGCACTTTATGCACTTATGCTCGTATGAAGTTTCAATTTTATTTAATAAACGACACGTTAGTTAAATCGAGGGAAATAAATAGTTTGTGACTAGTGTTCGTAACGTTTGAAGGATTAATAGCTCGATATCAATCTGGAGAATTGGCTTAGTCGGTGGAACGATGAAATATCACGCGAGCTACGAACCATTTCCGTTTCCTATTTCGCCCCTTTCCATCGCGTTTGATTTTTCAGATGGACTTGATTTTTTCGTCGTGCCCGGCCCACGTCGAGGCAGCTCTTTCACAGGTAGAGAAATCCTAGTGACGAGAGTGCCGAGGGAGAATCAGAGACGAACACCGCCTTGAGGGAAAGGGTGTGTTTTCTTTCTTTTTCACCCGAGATTCCGACACGGAAGACGAGATTTCTCCGCGACACTCGAGTCGATTACCTTTAAGGACGTCTGTGTAAATGGTGCTAAAGCCGTTTCTCGTGAATCCCACGCGTCGTTAAGGTATGCTTGAAAATTGCGTCGACGATCTCAGAGGACGGTTTGTAACGAAATTTCCTAATTCTCCCGTCGTTTCGTCAATTCTCTGACCAACATTACAGGTCGTCGATGTTTATATAAACTCTTGCTTGAACCCATGTGAATTTGTAATATCTTCGAACAGCAGGATACTGATTGGTTTGAGAGAATCATTTTATGCAATGTGTTTACCGGTTTTCCGAATGCGTATGAACAGGTACGTCGTTGAGTGAGCGAACAATTATTCGTGAAATCTGAACATGTTTCACGTTGTTTTTTCAGGTAATTTAATAGAAATTTCATTGATTTTATGAGGTAGATATTTGAGTGCACGTATGGGTGAAAAAATTAATATTCGACACTGAATATCCATTGTTCCTGTATTTTCAATTGCAAGGAGAATATCGAATTGTATGTGACACGTAATACACGATTTTAATGAAAAAGGTTTCATGAACGTGGACTCTGATATTAAACATTTTAAAATTAACACAATATTAAAAGAAAGAAATTATTGATTATCCTGAAACAATTTGTGAAATCTTTTTCACTCCATGAATTTGAATATCGTAGTATATCTTTTAGTATCCATAACAGTATATGGCTTTACTAGATCGTTTCTTACTTTTTCAATATACAAAATAATATTTTTTCAATATGAAAAATAAGAAATGATACACGCTCTTTGAATCTTTCCAATTTCTGCTGAAAGAAAATCTTTTCCAGTATTGATCGATGTAATTGATTGTGAGACATTTATTTATTTGTACATACAGATCCAATATTCCTCTATTTTAGAGTATTTTAAATAATCGACGCTTCAGATCTTCGACAGTCTCGTAGTTCTATTATAAAACGTATCTCAATTAACATTTATCTTGATATCACGCTTCAAACCAGATTAATTCCAAGATTAGATGAATAATCGTGTAATCGAGTTAAGTGTTAATAGTTGTCCAACGAAAATCTTGGATGATTTTCATTAAATGGGGAAAAGAATCGCTAACCGACTGACAGAAAAACATACGTAATATTTTACGTGAAACTGTACCCATGAGACAAGGAGAAGAAAAAAAGAAATACAGAAATCGTAGCTTTTTGTGTCCAACACGCCACACTAGCAGTGAGACGTAAGATAAATTCCAGTCTTGGGAGAAACTCTGTGAAAATTCCACCGACATTTATTCTGTAGATTCTCTCGAGACGAAGAATCTTCGAAACTGTGCTTTTGTCATTGTATCGTTAGGAGAGCATTAGAATATGACAGAAATAAAAGAATTTCTATAGTAAGGGAAAGAAATTACTTGGTAAGATAGGACTTTTTGTAAGACTCTTCAGTAACGCAACGATGGCTCAATTAGTTGACTAATTAAACGGAACGAGAACGATGGCGATGCTTAATGAAGCGCGCTGATCGATCGACCACCTTCCGTTCGCATTAATTACGAATTCGTTGGATCATAGTTTGCACGCGATTATGAGAATCGTATGCGTCTGTGCGTGAGACTTTATTTTACGAAAATCAGTGCAAACGCTGCGCTGCCAATTGATTCTTTTTCCTCGACGAACAGAAAATTATTCCGTATAAGCTCCTTTTTTTATTAGACATTTTGTCAGCTTTCTTTGTAATTCATTTTTACACGAACGACGAGCAATTACGTGGAAACGTATGAATGTTTACGTGGACATTCGCATGTATGATATACGAATAAATTCTTAAAGGTACCATTACGGAATCCTTATAGAATAAAAAGAACCTAGCAGCAGAAGAAATCCTTATCCATAAGAAATTTTCCATAGGTAATTAAAAATTGTGATAGAGGAATAATTTAATGAAAAGAAGGTCGAGACTGTATAAATAGTTCGATCGATGGTATTTGAATTACTCGGAATTTTAGATCAACTTTTGAATCACGTCTCTTATAATTTCTGAATGAATATTTAAAATTTCATTAACGATTGTTGCGACGAAATTTCGTATCCAGCAGAAAATGACATGATAATTTTACGAAATAGTACATGGAAAATTGACTAAAATAACAAGTGTTGTCCGGTAGAAATTTCATAATTATTCCTCGAGTTAGAGTGAAAATGTGAGCTTCTATTTTGTTGAGCATATTATTACGAAGTCATGCGCTCTAGTCGAGGTTCCCAGCATTAATTTCAACACTGCTACGTAGCAGTAATTTAATTTCTCATTTTCCTCACTTTTCCCTGATTTTTTCTTTTTCTTCTCCTTCTTTGACGTTGTCTCTTTATTTTGAGAATTTTTCTCCTCGTCTTGTCGTTGAAACCGAACGATGAATTCCATCTGTGAACAGAAAGTACAGCATTCCAAAACATCTTTCAATTTTACTGAAAGCATTCGGTGTATTGATCTATTCGAAAAGGAAACAATTTGAAAAAATACATAGTTCGAATTTGTAAATAAAGATCCTTTTTAAAAAGAAATATACCTTTCGAATTTATCGATTGGAAATTTTACAAAAGTTTTTTTAATTTATACTCTAACTTTGCTCGTTCTTTTTCGTTTAATTAGTGTCCCCTTTGTCGCAACATTAGCTACTGTTACTGGTTTATTTGGGAAACTTGTAACAAAGGATCAAACGAGGGCAGAGATCAAAGGAAGGAATTTCATTTTTTCGTTAAATTCATTTTTTCGTTAAATTCATTTTCATAAAAGTACAGCACCTTGTTGTTTTCACCGACTACTATCTGCATCTTTTCATCAAACTTGTCAAACGAAAAGTAGTCATTGGTAGACGGTTTCAAATTTCCTCCAAATATGGCAAATTCTTCCTGTGGTTGTATATGCTCTCTGAATTCTGCTTTCTTCGAGGATTTTCTATCACTATCCCCGTCCACTTTTTTCCTTCTTTGCACTTTATTTTCTTGATCTTGAGGAATAGTACCTTCCAACACATCGATTACGCGAAGTTGAAACGTCAACGAGCACTTTCCAGTGTTATGAATCTGAAAAATTACAAAAATAAAAGGAAGAATTTTGCATATTTCATCAACGATTGAAATTCGAACTTCTGATGGAAACGTTACAAGGGTGAAATTTCCCAGTTTTTCGAAACTGAAATCCGAGTAACGAAAGTTACTTTGTATCGTAGCAGAGAAAATTCCTTCAACATTTTCGCGATCTAATTACTAACGAGCTCGTTAAGTTGCTAGGCGATTAGCTGGAGTTTTAACAGCGATCAGAGGCAAAGTGAATCCAAATTACATCGTTTGTAACATGAAAGGTAAAAGATAAAAGGAACAAAGCAGAAATAATAGATAACAAAGTCCTCGTAATTTATGTAATGGAGTGGGTATGACATTGTACTCTATTCATGCCAACAAGACATGCCTTAGAAGCTGTTGTTTGATGAATAAATAAATAATTGGATAAAATTACATTGCTTTATTATTAGACGAAACAACGCTTTGAAATATTCATAGTACGATTAAATGAAAATTCTGACAATATTTCTGGAAAAATAAAAATGCATTCGTTAGTATGCTAATAAAAGCTAAAAGCTGCTCGACGATCTTTGAGTGTCTGTCGAGGATATTTATCAAAAGTAGCAACTTTCATTATGCGACTAAGGAATCCGTTCAATTTCATTTTAAAGTGAAATGAAGAGAAAGCAGGAAACAGAATAGCGAAGAATTTTACTGTAATGCAGTTTTGCAGTAACTGCATCTCGCGATACTTAATTTATGGAACTAGTTATGAGGAAGACATTTTCAAGATTCGAAGGGAACGTAATCAAATATCAAGCACACCTGTGCACCCCACAATTTGTCGCGGTGAAATCGTTCCAATATTCTCTGCATGTAAATGATTCGCTCTAACCTCGGTCGCAAGTATGCATAATATTGATCCGGCACCTTTGTTAAATATTTCACCGTAAAATTTATTCATCGAACGCCTTCGATGAATATTTTCCGTCGCGTCGATGGAAACGTCCGGTCCGCAATTATCCCTGTCCGTAATTAACCGCGATCTTTAATCAAGGACGGGAAACGATTTAATTTTAGTTTGCACTCGATGCCGGAGAAAAATTTCATTTTTACTTTGGACAATAGATCGCTGCTTTGTCCACGGAGGTGGAACGCGTGCGGTGAAGCCGCAAGCGGAAATTGTACCTCTGAAATTCTCGTGTGGCTACTTTGATGCTGCAAAGGGCCGGAAGTTGGTGGAATTCAAGCGAATCGGAGGACGGTCGTGCTTTTAAGATGACGAGAATAACTGGTCCGATTGGCAGGAAATGTACTGCGTCGAATTTCATGCTCGAACTTCCGGGAACGATTAAGCTCGACGTTATTCAATTAACAAGACGAATTGTATGGGTAAATAAGGAGGAAAGCATAGGATACGATATTGAAGGAGCTGATTAATCGATCGTACTTTGAAACACCTTAAGTGGTGGATTTCCTGGAATTCCGTTTACCATCTGATCTTGCTTGAATTATCGGTTTAAAGCTGGAGAACATTAAACCACAGAAATTTCCTTAAGCAAGAAGTGTTAAATGAAAATTTGAAAAATTTCCTACAACTAAGCAGACAAATTTAAATAGCCAGATTTTGTTACGACCGTGATAGATCAATGTCAGATTAATTTTCGCATAGTCGACTATCAAAAATGAAAGCCTGATCGATTTAACGTTATCTCGAGCAAACGGGTCACGCTTTACATCGGATACAGAAGGTTCGGTAAGAAAAACGCCGATATTCCATCAAAAGCTTGCTGGAGAAATATTATTCTAAATCGCCTGAGGCAAGTATTGTGAATGTGGTGTGAAGAAACGACGAATGCCGATAACTTTATCTACGTCCCTTATAGCTAAAAGGGTACGTAAGTTAAGGGCGATAAGAAACACGAATTTTATCTTACTCAGCGACGTCATGGAATTACGTGTAAACTATCGAGAAAAAATTATTTAAATCTTAGAAACATTGGTGTTTTTCACGTCGTTTAATCGGCCTGACTAAATTTGGTTTTATGTTGGGACCATATCTACGTTAATGTCCAATGGTCATAAACGCGTCAATTAATGGGAGAAAAAATAACGTGCCAAGTTTTACATTTTTAAGTGGCTACATTTATGCATTGACCGTAACAACGCGACTCAATAGGCGTGAAGTTTCTTTGATGTGTGAAAAAGACCGCCACCTCAGTTATCGTTTAACGACTAATGTCATCAACAATATCGTTATAAGATTAGCGCGTTAATCCATGGCCGTTTAATGTTAACGTGGCTCCAGTATTAAGGAAAATGAGGTCCTATCTTTCCTATCCTTCTTTAGTAATTAGAAAAAAATAAAAAAATAAAAAAATGATCAGTTGTTATCATTCAATTTTTTATCAAGGAATCTCCCTATTCATTTTTCTACTTAAAAGTTAATTTTTTGATAAATCAAAAAAGTGTAGTGGGATATTTTCTTCCACCAATTTATAAGAATTATTTGGAGAAGGAAGCGAACGATTTTAATGGAAGTTAAATATTGATAAGAATCATTTTTTTTCACCTCTCAGTCCTCCGGGAATCGACTTCAATGTTTCTTTAAAAATCATATCATAAATTGAATTTAGAATTATAATGTTTTTGTTAGAAATTCGTAGAATGTCATATGTAGTTTTATAGGTGACCCATGTAAGCGTCGATCGATGAAATGCAACGGTAGATAACGGATCTCAATTAATTCATCGCATTACGGTGGTTAATTAGTGTCCTCTCGCGTCGTTTCTCCAATTAATCTTGTAGCGACGCTTTCATACGTTTACACGATCTAATTACAATTACATATCCTACTGGTGATTGCACTGTAGGATTAGGCTATTTGAACGATATTCCTCTGTTCTAAATTGAATTGACTCGATAATTAATCGCTTTTACTATTCTGTATATTTTAACGAAACATTGTACACTAGGTATTAAAGGAATTTTAATTGATTAATTATTGACACTATTAGACAGAAATATTTCAGTGGAATATTCTTCAAATTTAATATTTTAATAAAGATAGCTTTTCAACAATGATTTCATATTTCTAATGCATTCTTTTCTTTTTTTCTTTTCATTTTTTAAATAAAAATAAGGAAAATGGATATAACAGGTACGTGCCTTATCGTCAGCAGATACATTTAATCATACCTGCTGTTGATATTTTATATTAAAGTACGAATAATACTTTTGTTAATCGATATTTATTAAATTATGATCATTCTCAAAATATTTCTAATAAACAACGAACTTACAGATATTTTCAGTTCCACTGCTTCATTTCCGACAGCTTCGAAACGAGCTACTCGAAATTTAGGTTTCAAGACATAAGATGGCACCACTCCACGTCCGATGACCCTTATACGCCATTTTGTCCTCGTATTAGAGCTCCTCACTTCGAAATATTCCTGATTTTAACAGAAAAATATATACTTCGTATAATTTCTTTCCATATACCGAATTAAAATCCATAAAAAATTTTTTAGAATTCAAAAAGTCGATTTGTAATTAAAGAACGATCGATTCCTATCGAAAGACCTCAGTCAAGATCGATAGAAGCAATTTGAAAATGTCTATTACTAACCTTCCTCCTCCAGATCCTTGAAATTAATTCCCCAAGCCGCAATTAAGTTAAATTAAATACCCTATGAAGAATCGAGATTAATTACAGATAATTAAACACAAATTTACATCAATTTGTACATACGAATTTTGGAAATTTTGAAGAAAGAGAAAAGTGGAGGATCAAGATGCCTTGCGAATACGAGACTCAAACTTTCAAACTATGCCGATGCGGTTGTAAATGGCGATGCCAGTGTTTAATTCCTCGGGAAAAGAAACCTCGTCCGCCATTCAACAGCAGCTTAAAACGCGACGCGAAGATTGGACTGCATCCAAAATTTTATGTAAACAAATCCGATTCACCTGCTGTAGGGACTTACAATATTCCAGCCATCAGAAGCAAATCGATTGCCAGAGAGTAAACATGAATTTTCACGCAAAATTTCTTTATCTCTTTATAAATGAATTTCGATGGACAATTTTTCACGAAAATCCAGCTGGACGAGGGAACTCGTGACCGAAGAATTTTCAGCGACCATGGGAGGGAAATTATTGGAGAAATACGTGTTAGAAAGAAATTTGATGAAAACGGGACGTGGTCCGGGAACGCACGATATTTCTCAGTGGCCTGAAAATATTTTGGAAAGATCTTGTGAAACGGCTCGAAGAGACGTTGGATTTGGAACTGTCCATTCCTCTAAACTCGCTTCCACTATTCCTGGACCAGGTGATACTCCTTCTACTAAGCGACTATTTTACTGACATTTTTGTTTCTTTGTTTCAGGATACACCCGGAAGAATCCTTATTATTACATGGATAAAAGGAGACGAGAAGGTTTGTCTAGTACTCCTACTTTTGAGTACGACGGTCTGCGGCCTAGATTTCGTCATGTTTCCAATAGCTGGACTTTACCGAGCAATTTGTACGTTTTTTGTACAATAAAATCTTCATAATAAATGATAAATTTTGACGTTTCAACAGGTATAACGTAAAGCATCCGGATACTATAGAAGCTATCTTGAAAAAGGTCACTGGAAAAAGGGGTCCCTACGATTTATTCACAGGTGTCTTAAATAAGAAAATCATCGACGTTGAAAATTTCGGGTTTTGATCATTTCTCGGGATCATTAATATTTTGTTTATAGGCCCGAGGGATAGAAGCACGATTAAGAGCTACTTTGCAATTACAAAATTGGAAGATCACGGCGACTGGCCTAGATCGTTGCCAAGCGAGCTCGACAAACTGTTGCACAAGTCGAACTATTTTAAAGGACGTTGGATCACTTGTCCGAGGTATTCTGATTAAATTTATAGCCGCCAGGTAAATTCTATTCAACAGAGATATTTATACCGCCAACGATGTAGAATTGATACCAAATTTTGAGCATTCGTCGAGACTTCAATTTAAGGTTGCAAAATTTACAATTTAAAAAAATTAGGTTTCCAAAGGTGCCAGGGATGCGAATGGTGTTACAAGACCTAGCCTTGTGTTACAAGGACCCGAAGCACCCAGGACCTGGCCACTACGATCCGAAATCTCCAAGGAAGCCAAGAAACACGAAGAATTATCCTTTCAATATCAATATTGAACACGTTAGGCCGGTTACTATGTCGGATATTCATCCTGGCCCAGGGAGATACAAAATCAAAGACAAGAGGCGCATCAAAGGGAATGGATGGACCTTTGTTTTCAAAAGCAAACTGCCTCGAACAAATTTCATTATCATCCCTTCGCACAATGCCTTCTAATTGGTTCCCTGATTTTTGAAATAAAAATGTATGTTAGCTTACTTCTTTTTCTTGATCTCGAGTAGGTGTATAGGTAACAGGAAGCTCTAAAATGGAGCCAGTTTCAATAGTTTGACCTGGAGGGACGACAAATGGACCGAATGGATCTAGTGTGCTGATATTCACCTTCACACTCCTGATAAATTAAAAACTTCAATTATAAATTTAATGTTAGATATAATTTTGTATTTGACAGATAGATGGTAAAAATTGTTTACCTGTTTGAGATATTTTTAACGAACAGCAGTTTCCTCGAAGAGAGACCAATTGCTGTTGATCCAAAATCAATTTCATGCTTCTTCAAAACCAAAATATCCGGCCTTGTGACTGGGCAAATTAATTTGTCGAATAAAAGTTCCCTGTGCTTTGCACCATTTTCCATCACCAAGTCGATGATACATGTGATGAAAATTGTGGATACAAATGGTTCAAGTGTCTCCAATGGATCAATTTCACTGGCTAATTTATTAATATCAAAATGATCCTTTTCTTCTTCTGATTTTTCCTTTTCTTTCTCCTTTTTCTTTTTCCTCGGTGACTTCTTCTTTCTTTTTTCTTTAATAAAAGCGTAGGATATTTGTCTTTGAAGACTAGACATTCTTATGCAAGTGTTCTAATTGGTACCTTTTTTCAGAGATTTATCATCCTTTTTGGATTTTGTTTTATCCTCCTCAATTTTCTCCTTTAATCTCGGTTTGAAATTAAAATTCACCCCGATAAACTGATTACTATGTAGAATACCAGATTGTGGTACGACTTCCACTTGATCAGAGGAACATTTAAACTTAAAACGAGCTGTGAACTGTTTATTTTGATTCTTCGCTATTCCACAGGTACAACGAGGATAAGAAGCCATATTAAATCCTCTCAGTTGAACAGAGACCTAAGTTTATTATCCTTTTTCAGCAAAGATGAAGAGAACAATTTTATATTTAATAATTGAATTACCTGTGAAAATGAGCCGCAAGGTGTGGCAGGAAACTCTATAATCTGTTCGCTTAACTCGCAAAACGTATCCACGATGTACACGCGAACATCCATCACATTTTTCTTTTCCCTTTTGCAAGATTTCTTCATTTTTCCATCTTCGGTCTCCTCGACATCTGGTATGTGACAGGTGAACATTAACCGTGCAATATTTTAATGATTATTATCAATATTTCCACTGTACCCTCATCTGAATCTTCCTCATCCATAAAGAAATCATCTTCCATTTGATTTGTCTCATTATTATCAGTCAGAGACACCGGTGGTGCAAGACCATCAGGTTTTGATATCTTGTGAAAATTTTTCAATTCCTTTAATTTCGTTTCTCCTTTCTTCCCAACCAGTTCTGCCAGAGTCACCGCTTGTATCCGGAATCTACCAGTCGATTAGAAAATATATAAAACGAAAAGGGGTTGTAAGTAAACGACTGTCAAAATATAATAACATTCTTTCACCAGCCAACCCATTCGCTCCAATTTCATTTCCAGGAATATCCGTCAAGCATGCAGAGTAGATCAGATGAAGTTCGATAGTTTCACCAGGTAGGATAGCTCCAAAACCATGATTAGGATGTATCTCCATGAAGGGAGGTAAGTGGAAAAAGGCATATTCTTGAATTAACAAACTGTTGTTGGTTAATGTTATTTCTGTGTACACTGATTCGTGGGTGTACACGAGTCCCAAGTCAACGTACGCTGGTTCTATTAAAAATATAATAATAGATCAGAAAATGAAAAAATAGAAAATAGAAAACTAGAATTTAGTACCTAATACTAAACCCTGACAGGTAGTCAAATTGGCGAGAACTTTCAAAATTAATGGCGGGGGCTGTTCTGAATCTCGAGACAGAATCTGCACGTGAATTGGAAACTCTAGTATCTTCGACACTCGATCGTAGAATCTGAGGATAAATTTTATTTTATTTGGTGGATACCTAAAATTTCACGTAGCTGATTTTTGTCCACAAAAGGGTTAAGGGATCGATACGTACCCTTTTGATAAATTGATGATGCTCGATTCAGGAATCAATCTCACACAAACTGTAGAATTTGCGTCTGCTTGCACGATTGTCGATTTCGGATAAACGGTCACCTGAGACCCCAAACGTTTCGGAGTCTTCATTAACACTTCAACGCTAGAACGTCCTGAAATAAACCCCTTAATTATAATACTTTAATCAATATCCTAGTTACACTTTACCTGTATTAATGATATTGAAAGTTTGTTGACAAATGTCAGAATCAGTCATCAGAATTCCTAGATCGATACAGGGTGGATCTAAATGAATTTGGTAACCAGTCACCTCTGCCCAGACTGGCACATTCTATTCACCAAATTGTAACACATCTTTTAATTATTCCTGGAAATTAATTAATATCTAAGGTACCTGTTTGCCAAATATCGAATCGTTAGAGGAAAATAGAATTTCCAAAACTTCGTGATGTAATCCAATGTATCTTGGTCGAAAAGAGATCCTTAAAATGCATTTCAATTTTGGAGGAACTTCGATTTGATACATTTTTCGAGAATCTTGATGATTCAATTCATCTTCTATGTTCTCTTTACTCTCATTTAGAAAAGTGGAGGATTTTGCACTTTGCGCTTCTCCTTCGTCGAAGAACCATAGGAAACAATCATTAAGATCGTTTCTTTCTCCAATTATTATTGAAAATGATTTTCCACCATCGTTAGAGATGGTAAGAGCCTTTTCCTTGATCTTCAAGTCCTCGTATTTCCAAATCGGAGCAGAAGGGAATCTATTCGTGCAATCTTGTTAAAATCTCTTGTTTATTTATTTTAGATAACAGATTGTACCTTAATTCCTTAGGATCGACGTTAGGTCGAGGACCGTCCGGTGTGCATCGAACGGGAACACGAAATTCGTGGAAAGTGTTCGGATCGTCGGGGCTGAGAGTGAGAAAAGAAATTTCTGCTATCACTTTCTCGTCGTTGACGGGTGAAAATTTCACGTTTACTGTTACGTGTAATCCGGCTTTGACTTTCGCAGCATCGATGATGTCGATCTGTTTTCAATGCTCTCGTCAATTTTATCTATCTTAAAATCAAACAAACAGTTATTGTTACAAAACCTCGACGACGGGCTCCCAAACGTCAGTGTTCACTTTGTGGAACCTAAGGTACGCCCACTTCGTCGTTTTATTCGTGATTGTCACTTTCTTGTTGTACACCTTGTTCGCGTTGAAGGCCTGATTGAAAATCGTATATCATTGTTTGTGTCAGGAATTTGGAAAAAATTAATAATATTTTACATCGAAAACCACTGTGCTTGGAGTCGCGAAGAAACATGTGTCTTCTGGATAAATTTTTTCTCTCGATTTGCATTTTCTTCTTACTCCTTTTTCAGTAATTCCTTCACCTTTCATCGGTTTTCTGTCCTCGGTGACTTTTTCTTCCTTGGCAGGTTTCGTGACGTTTTTCTCGTGTGTCGATGTATCTGCGATTTCCTGAAAATTTTTAATATTACACGAATTTTGAATTATCATTAATTAATAATTAATATTACAATCCTTTACAGTAATCGCGACGTTTTCTTCAAGATTTTTTGATTCATCTTTTACATCCTCTTTCCTTGTTTCTTCTTCTGAACAAGTTTTTATAGAACTGTCCCAGTCAATTATTCGAAACTTCGTCTCTGTTATTTTTTGTATAATTTGAATGCCTGTTGGTTTTTCTGCTAGTCGAATACCGTTGATCATTTCTTTCATTATCTTCTCGATGATCATGACTGTTCTTTCTTTTCTAAGTTTCATTTGCTTCCTTTTTTCCCGTTTATATCTCAAAATCTATTTTTCAATAAAAATTAGATTAGAAACATAGGAATTGAAAAATTGTCTATTCGATTAGAAACTAACTTTGTCAAAAATGATAGAATCTGATGGTACACTTTCATCGATATTGTACTGCCATCTTATTCTGCGAAATAATAATTTTGATAAGTTACTTTTTTTTACTGATAATTAATTTTTTAATTATTCTAACACACCTTTCGATAGTTTCTAAACGTTTGCTTTCTCGAATTATTGTTCTTTCTCTTAAATGGCAAGTGTAAATCCATCGTTGATTCAATAGATTGGTCTGAAACGTTCATAATCGTTACTTTTAATTTATTTTTTAATCATCGCTCGATTTTACCTTTAGTTTAATCAGAGCAGTATAAAATTTCCATCTTTTGTATTGATTCAAGAACGCTTTTTTTCTTTCTTCCTCATTTATCAGTCGATACGATTTCGATTGCGAAAATTTTGCGAGTTGATAACCTACGTTTAATTAAACGTTCGTTAAATGTTGAATAATTTATACGATTTTAAATTTACCAGTTGATTTAACAATTTCCTTCGATTTCTGTGCTTCAATTTCATCCTGTTCATAAATGAACAAATTAATCAAATTTCATCCGCTAATTAGACAATTTTGAATGAACTAACCTTTCCAGTCTCATCTTTTTCCTTTTGCAATTGCGAAGCATCTTTTTTACGAAATTTTTTGCAAATTCCTAATTTTAAAAGTCCTTGAAGTGCAAAGAAAAATCAATATTTCACTCTCGAATATCTTAAAATAAACCAATGTTACCTTTCAAGGTTTCCTGTGTTTCTCTTTCGAGCCTCGCTAAAGTTTTCTCATCGAAACAGCAGTTACAATTCTACTAAAAAAAGAATATTCTAAATAAACAAATGTTATTTATCAAACTTTTACCCACCTTTTTCTCCATGATTGCTGTATTTCAATATTATCAATACCTCTTGTCAAAACATCGACTGTAACATGAAGGAAAAAAAGAGAGCGAAGAGAAATCGAAGGTTCTTTTAAAGATTGTTATTTTTCCCTATTTACTTTTCACTTATCACTTAGCTTTCCTAAAACCTTCTGACTTTTCACTCGTTCAATGCGATTTGAATTCCTGCAAAAAACGATTTCACTTTACAGTGAATTTTATTCAACGTGCCGCAATTATGTCTTGTTGCAATTTGAAATTGCAATTAGTATAAGAGTCGCGTACCTCCCGCAGTAAGTTTACCCCCCATCGAGTAGTCCTGTTTCGCAACCAACGATCAAAAGTAATTCAAAGCCGGTCCATCCTCCAAATTAACCTGCTTTCAGGTAGACACCTCTGTGTTTAATCGTTTTTTCTTCTGTGTGTGGCTCCACGAAAGCCGTCGATATTTCGTGCCAGATGGAATCATAACAGAATCCTTCGGGATAATGACGCACCGTGCCATTACACAAGCTGCACCGAATGCATAATTCATAAGTATGCCACGAACTTTGAACCACCCCTTTTTACCAGGGATTTGTAATTTTCTTACCATTCCCACACACGTCACATTTTGTTAGAAACAAAATGATATATTCCATGGGTGCATAAGAACGATTTTGAATAAACATTTAAACCGTTCAACCGGAAGTTGCACCTCTCGTAGAGATAAAAAAAAAAAAGAAACAACAGCTTCTCCAGTAACCATATGTCGGATAATTTTGTAGATTGATGGAGAATTTCACGGAGCAACTGACACCCATATAGATATTCCCATAGGCGGAGGCTACGTAACACGGTCCTTACACAAGGCTCATTGTTGGTCAGGGTTAATTAATCGGCATCCAATTGGCCGCTAATAACTTTCTAATTTACGAGCACCGAGACGTCCGTGCCGGGATGGTCACGCGAAATGTTTGCCTCTCGACACCTCGTTTTCCTCGTCCCATCAATTATATCAGAGTGAAAGCTCTTTTTATCTGCTGTACGAAATTGGAAATTTTCAAAATTTCACTCGGTTCATCACTGTGGGAGGTGTCGAAGGACTTTCGAAGGAGGACCAGGCACGCGCCCTCTGTCAAACAATTCCAAACATTTTGAAAACATCTCAATCTGGTCGCGAATGGGCCACGGGTGGGCGAGTAGCACTTTGGAAAGGTTATTTGTCAAGCGTCTTAAGGGGGTGGCGAGGGAGAGACATCTCTGTTCATCTTGCGCGGAGGGTCGCGTGGCCAAACAGAAGTCGGTCGCCTGTTTTCTCGGATGGTTGCTCGTAAATCAGGCCCCCTCGACGGGGGTGAGAACGCGTCGCGTAGTCCTGTTCAGGAAGAAAAGCGTCGATCTGGTGAAAATGCAGCTCGCGTCTCTGGTTACTTTCGAAAAGGAAACCTCTCTCTTTCTCTCGATCTGGCCCACAGACCCAGTGGCCCTAAATTTTCGAAAACTGTGCCAGCAACCAGAAGAACCTTTCTTCTACACTTTCCATTTTTACGGCTGGCTAGCGGAACGACAATGGTGTCCTGCCACGAGAGCTTGCCTGGAATAATGTTCGGTGGAACTGCGAATCGCTACCGGTGTTTCGCACGGGTTATAAACGCATAAATTCTACCCTGCTGCTCGTTTTAACGTGCTCCACCTCTGATGGTCGGACTCGTGACCCGAATATTTCAAGGTCGCACCTCGTAGAAGTCTGGCGTCAAGTTGATGGATCTTTTATTGGGAAAGTTGAGAGACAATGGAGAAAAAACGGGAAACGTGAAAACGACTAATTAGGTTCATTTGAATAAGGATCGTTAAGAATAATGTGGAGCTTCGAATTCGTGAATTTTTAATAATGTTTTAGATTTGTATCGTCGGAAAATTTGGAAGGTAAACTTTCTCCGATCCGACGTTTAGAGTAAGAATCCCGGTTGGTTAGCGAACGGAAGCGCCGGTCACGCAACACCCAACGCATTATCGATGCACGCGTGCCTTTTTGTGAAAAAATTCCGCCGTATAGACGGTGGGCAACGGTGCGACGGGTCGGTAAAACCGCCACGAGAGGAGGGTGCGTGATGCGTTACAGCTGGTTAAACAGCTGTACGGAGGAAAGATAGCCGTGAACGCCGCGACAAATTTCAATACGAGCCTCCAGAAAACTGCGCACGAAATCGGACCTGCCCTCTCGGATCCTTCATTTTTCTTTTTCATCGTCGATGATGAGCTTCGTTTATTCTTGGTGAAAGCGACAGGGTGCTTCGATTTCTCGGGTTAAGTATCAAGGATACGATGATTCGGTTGTATTTTAAATGATACAGTATCGCACTTTCTTTTTTATGGAGAATATGAGTTTTAACCCTCGAACGGCGGACCATGGAGAGAGCTCCAATTTTAATTTGATTTTGTATTTTACATTTTCATTTTTTAAATAATATTCGACAGCAAATGGATATCTTAACTTTAGAAATTACCTATTTGGGTCCTCCGCGGACCATGGAGAGAGCCCCAATTTTAATTTACCTTTTCATGTAACTTCTTTTCAAAATTATTCTTTTATTATATGAAACTCTTTCGTATAAAAATTCGACATTTGGGACATCATTTTCTTCATATCTTATTCATATCTTCATTTATTAATAGAGGGTTAACCGATCCTTCTGACCCTCCCTTAGCTGCGCTACTGCTTCGAATTCATTTTAATAGATTTGAAGGACATTTTGAGGAGCATGACCCTTGATGTCCCGGTAACCCACATTGGCTCTCGGAGAAATTTTCCAGGACCACCTCTAGTAGGGCAAAAATCACCCTTGCGAGTCAAGGTTCACTCGATGGAACAATGAGGGCAATAGTAGGTCAGTAGGGACTTCTTTTGGTCAAAGGGCCAAGGTGGATGGACCGAGGGGGCACCGCAAGGTCTCGTAAATTTTATAGGCACACGGAAGCCGCTGGTTTTTCGTGAAAATGGCATTACGGTAGCGTCTAGTGGCTAGTTGAGAACACGAGTTTTCACGTTTTATTGCACTCTGAGGCGAACGGAGAATCGAGATTCGGTCAAAGAGATTGCCCCCGTGTAAATCAAGCTTGCTGTGTCTTCTGCGAACTTCCTCTCTTTGCAAAAAAAAAGAGAAGATTCTTATTGTATTATACGTTTTGCGGATGAGGGAAACTTTTAGTGTTTAGTTGTTAGGAGGAGAAATTTAGATTTCTCAGAAAATATAGCTGTATAATTTTTAAGATACTTAAAGTATTAGCTTATGGTTCTTTCGAGTAGTATACTTGGATGCCTAATTTAAAATTCTTTAATTCTATCTTTCATAATTTAATAATTATTTCAAATTATACTTGGATGTTTATATTATTTTTCTTATCTGAAAAACTTCCAAAAAAATTATTTATTCTCATTTATATCTTCAAGAAATGATTTTGCCTTACTAAAGATCTTATTAGAAAAAGAAATCATTAGAAATTAAACAAACTTGGGAACAATATTATAAATCAAAATTTCTCTACAAGAAATTGAGATCATTCGCTCTATAAAGTTTAAATATTCAGGTGATTATACAACAGAGTTCATCAGCCAATGTCGATCGATTCACCTAGTTAGAAACGGATGCTGAGAAACCTGCTACATCATGGTTCGGAAAACGATCAAGGGGAGTTTAGAGGATGCCGAAACACCGGTAGCGATTATTAAGTTTTTTTGTCTGTGTAATTAGCATCATCGAGAGGATCGTAATATCCTGTTCTATTCCATGATTCGAAACGTGATCAGTACATTCTAAACGAGTGTACCGTCTGTTAATGGCGTAACAGGTTTTCAAATTGAGACGAAAGTTTGTTTCATAATTTTGATCGAATTGAATCATTATTTTTAGAAAATCTTTATTCTCTTTTATATCTTTTAAAAAAAAAAAAAGAAATTTTAATTTGAAGTCAGACGGTATTTCAATTATTCCCGAAAGGTATCCTGCAAATTTTCCAACAATGATACAAGGAGTGCATTCTGCAGAGAATTTTCGAAAGCTCGAGTTCATTTTCATTTGTCCTCGAACACGAAAAGTCGAAGACGGACAAAGGACATTTCACGGGACTTAGCTATAAAATTGGCCATAAATACGATCGTAAAATCCCTGTTGCATGTCCTTCAGGACGGCTGGGTTTGTCCCTTGTTCTTTCTTCGCTTTTAACTTCTCACGTTTCCCTTTTGCAATTTCCATTTTCAATTTCCTGGTTGAAAATAAATTATTAAAAATGATTTTTCATTCGTCCGAAATCGAAGGAAATATTTCTAACAAACTTCCAATGAAAATTTGCGATTACATAAAAATTTATTTAAATACAATACTATTTTACAGAATTACATTTAATACATTATAATTGTTAATCATCGACGTTTTTTAAATTTTCAACTTTTCAAACTAGAAATGAAATGAATGGAGACGGGCGTTTGAGGGGACGTGAAAAATTTATTTCCCCCTCAATAAATCAAAAAATTGAAGGTCGTGACCTCGAAGGAGGAGGCTGTGTCCATTTGCAGGGAACGTTAAAATCGTGGAATCGAGGACCGATTTCGTCTGGTCGGACGACGGCCACACGCCGGCCACCATCGACCCCCATAAACTCATCAACTCGTAAAAGTTGATTTTCGCTCGCATTCCTTCGACGACCTCGTAAATCATAATCTATAATAATACACACGCGTAGAAGAGGAAGGATCGGAAGGTCGAAAGGACCCGAGCCATCCGACGATTTTTCCAAACTTGACCGTCCGTTTTCTCCCTCTTCAACGGAACTTTCCGTCACCATTTTTTGCCTCTTTCCCTTTTTTTTTACACTCGAACAATCTGGGGATTGATTGACAGTTGCAACCTGGTTAAAATTTGGAATTTTTAAACTCTGGAAGAATTTTTAGAAGTAGAAGTGAAATTGAAAATTTAATAAAATTGCATTTATAGCCTTCGATTGTTTCGTTCGGGAATAAAAATTTAAAAGGAATCCAACACATCGAACCGATAGCAATGCTGGTAGCTC